AAAAGGAGTTCCAGGGCAGCCAGGGCTACGCAGAGAAACCCTGTCTAGAAGAAAAAAAAAAAAAAAAGAAAGAAAGAAAGAAAGAAAAAAAGAAGAAAAAGAGTTGCCTTGGTCATGGTGTCTCTTACAGTAAAAGAACATTGACTAAGACACCTGGGCTACTGGATCCTGTTTCAAAAAAATTAAAACAAAACAAAGTGCTTTAAAAAGTTTGTTGCCATTTAGATGGCCGACAAGCCCATGTAGAGCCAGAGTGCCATAGGCAATAAAATCACTACAACTTTTTAAACTTCCTTTTGCAATTTTCCAGTTGATGACATCAGGGAAATGGCCTAAGCTCTCTGCTTGGTTTTCCTCATCAGTGAACTGAGGGTAGCAAGAGAACCTACCTCACTCACATGGTTGTCTTCGGGGGCAAAGGAGATAGCACAGAATGTAAACAGGAGATTTTCCGACCCACAGGTTTAACCTTTACTCTCTAGGGCTCTCAAATTATATGCAGACAGTGTAAAGATTAGAAAGACAACAAATTGCTGGCAGTGTTCATTTCTGGGTGGTACTTTTATTTTTCTTTATATTTTATGTATTTTCCAAATAACTTAAAATTTTTTTGGACAAGGTCTCATGTAACTTAGGCTGGACTTAGGATATTCACTGTGTAGCCAAGGATGATCATAAAGGCATGTCCCCCCACACCCAGTTTATGTGGTGTTGGAGATGGAAACCAGGGCTTCAGGCATGGTAGGCAAGTAGTCTGCCTCAACCCCAATAGTGGAGATGGCCCTGAGTTTGATTCCCTAGGGCCCAAGAAAAGCTAGGTGTGGTACAAAGTACTCATTTGGACTTCCAGTGCTCTTACTGTGAGATGAAAGGTAGAGAAAGGAGAATTCTGAGGAGCTCACGGACCAACTAGCTCTGTGTGCTCAGTCTGGGAGAAAACAACAGAGCCCCTATTCAAAACGTGGTGTAAGGATTGACTCTGGAGGGCACACACGCACGCACGCACGCACGCAGGCACGCAAGCACGCACACAGAC